CTACAAGACGACCAGAGTCCGTCACGCCCCAAGCAATCGCTGATGCCCCATGCAGCAGGATTTACCGGCCAAATCTTCGCGTTGCTGTCCTCCAGCAAGCTGCAAGGCAACAGCCACATCAACGGTACGATAGTTTACTATTTACGGGGTAGGGTATGCCCTCCAACTCCGGACCAAGGGCCGGCCAGGCTAGGCTCCAGTCCAGACGCTAGACTGGCGCCATGGCTGGGGATTTGTGCACTGACCTACTCTCCTACCGAACACACGAGCTGCGTGCAAGCACAAACAGAGCTACATTACTTGTACTAAAGTTGTACATGTAGTTGTGAAATACTGTTGTACATGACTGTCTAGAGACAGTAGTCTTATCTGACTCTGAGTAGATCAAGAGTGTGATGCAAGTGAACAAATCAATGGCTACTCAGTATGTAACATGTCGACAACAATCATTATTTTGGGCAAAAATAGAGGCTACACTCTACTGTACTGTCTACAGCCTAGCCGCAGATCTAGATCTGCTAGCAGAGCCGGAAAACTCTCTGCACGCAGCTAGCGCAGCACGCAGGGCATGCAGTGCCAGTACTAGCTGTACATGTACGCACAGAAATGACCATGATGACTTGAAGACCTTCCTTTTGAAACTACAGCATAGTAGATCTACCTTTTGAAAGAAATGCTGTGAAGTGGCGATGAGTTGACCATTGGCATTGAGGCCATTGCTTGCAGATAATTATGATAATTGTGTAGTAGTGAACGGTGCCTTGATATTACCTGCAGGCTGTAGTTGCTAGTACAGTGTAGTAGTAGTAGTGGGTACTGCTGTGCATAGTTCTGTTTTCTTTGAGCCTGTGTGTGCTAGCTGTAGCGTGCTACAGCGCCCGGCTCAGGCTAGCTGTGTAGTGTACTGGTGGTGCTGGTCGTCGTCAATAATCCAATAATCCGTCCAGCCCGGTGGTAGCAGTGTTAGGTACTAGTACTAGGTAGCGGCGTGTGTTCAGCCGCCCGGCAAGGATAGTCTCCGCTGAGCTTTGCGACGACCGCCGCGGATAGCGACGGATCACGATCGCTGGCGCTGGAGAGCACCACGCGGCGGAGTGCAAAATACTTTGCTGGCCGCGCGCGTGCTAGCTGCTGGTGGTTGTACTAAGTAACGGCGTTTTGCACGCCCATACGCTAGTCATCCATGTGCATAATACTATTATACGCCCCTTGATTCGAGTACGTATTCTTACTGCACTGGCCGCTCAGTACAGCGACCATTGGCGATATCAGTAGCGTACAGCAGCTCGCTAGCAATCGACATGCGTGCACCGTTCGTTGCAGGCAGGAACATCAAGCTGCTGTTGGTGGTGTTCTCGATCAACACGGTGATAACGTACATACTGCTGACGGTCATTCTGCCGCCGCGCCTGGAGCAATGGCGTGCACATCGCCGCCATCCCTCGCCGGCGTGGCAGAGCAAGCAGCTGAAGCAGTTCGTCGCCGACAGCCGGAGAAACGACGTGCCGGCGCCCCCACCGGGTGGACTGGGAGCGGTGGCAGACTCGGCACTGGCTGCTGCAAAGGCCAGTAGCTACTATGGAAATCATGCGGCGGCGCAACCGGGCGGACATCTTGACGTTCAGAGCGACCAGTCTGCGCATGCACAACAGCAGCATGGCAGTGAACTACTGGCCAGCAGCAGGCAGTCGCTGAGAGCGGCGGCGGCCGTGCGGATACAACCGCAAGCGCTCTCTGCCCGCAGTCGCAAGCGCGTGCCGCTCGTGCAGTTCCTGGGCGTAGTGGAGAGCGCAGACAGCGCGCAGGCCCGACCGTCGCTACAGCGGCAGGACAACAAGGCGGCGGAGGACGCGCACGAAACGCCAGCACAGGCGGCGGCAGCAGCGGTGGTACCGGCACACAGACGTGGTGGCGGCGGTGCGTCGTCCGGGCGTACCTACGGCGGCCTGTTTGACTACAAGGGGCCGGCGGGGGTGATGTGGGCGCGCGCCTTCTACCTCGACGAGCACACCATCGGCCTCGTGCTGTTGAGGCCTCCGCGTGCCCTGCGCCGACAGGTCTGCGTGTACCGCAAGGTCAACGCACAGTCCATGGACTTCAAAGGCTCAATGGGCGAGAGTCACGGTGCGCCCGTGGACAAGCTCACCGTCATTTGCCGATTCGCCGACGCCATTGCCGCGCCGCTTGCGGACGACTTTGTGGAGATCTGGGACACGGCGAAGGTGCCGATCTTCGCCTACGACATCGCCAAGGCGTTCACGTGGAGCGTGTGTATTCCGCCGATGCACGTGAACGCACGTTACGAGTGGGTGTCGCAACTGCTCCGCTACTACATCTCGCGCATGGGCGCTGACTATTTCTTCTTCTACTCGGCCATCGCAGACATCACGGCGGCGCGACTGACGGAGCTCGGAGTGGACTATGCCGAGCAGTATAGCAGTGTTGTGGACATGTCGTCGCAGATGGAGTTCAAACCGTACTACTTCGCGCAGACGACGGCCATTCATGACTGTCTCTATTTGAACAAGCAGATCAAGACGGAGTGGACGCTGTTCCAGGATCTCGACGAGCTGCTGGTCCTGCCGGCCAAGTGGCCCGACCCGCTGACGTTCTTCGAGACGCACAAGGACAAGCACGCCATCACCTTCGGCATGTGGAGCGTCGACTCGCGAGTCTGCCGGCCGGAGAGCGAGGTCGAGTCTGGCGATCAGGACTGGCCGCTGATCGTGCGCATGAAGAAGGCCACGCGCGGGCCGTACTGCGGCAACATGTGCATCGATTGGCGCGGCCGTCGCAAGTACGTCCTGCAGCCAGCCATTGTGGAGGCGCTGTTCATACATAAGCCCATTGCCCGCCCACTGCTCAACCTGCCCGTGTCCGACGGCTTCATGCGCAACTTCTGGCGGGCGCAGAACAAAGACGTGCAGTACTGCTCGCAGATCGACACGTCCAGGCAGACCTAGCGGCTAGCGCGGCACACCTCGGCTCTGGCGCAGCAGTATCCAGTACTGCCCAGCGCACACCTCTGTGGGCTGCAATACCGAGTACTGCCTAGCGCCTACCAGGCTGAAGTATCCGGTCACTGCTCATCGGTAGACATGTCCAGACAGGCCGAGTGGCGGCAGTGCAGGTCACATCTGGATGCAGTAAGTTGCACGCATGAATTTGAAACAGTTGGACTGCGGAAATCCCCTACATGTTCCATTTTCTCTCTTTATTAAAACGGAGCAAAACGTGTTCCAGGGGCTTCTGTGCACGTTGCATCAAATTCTTTATTTTTCCACTGGGTTTCAAGCAGTTCTGGTCGGATTTAGAACGTGAAAACTTGCACGATGGTCTACCTCCTAGACCTACCGATTGCACCGAGTTCACCCCGGCAAATCTCATTGTCCCATTGCCAGCACTGGGTGGCCTTAGTATGTACGCAAACTTTTAGTATTGGATATTGGCCAGTGGGAATCACGCCGCGATGACGTGTGTGCATACCGATACAGTGCCGGCTCATCCATGGCCCGTAACAGCGGTAGCGCATGCGCTGGTACAGGCGTGCACAAACCAAGCATGCTTGCTGCTCCTCTTGCCGGTGCATGCTGGCACATGACCTGCCTAATATGGCCACCACCAGCCGCCGTGGATGTCATGCGATAGCCCCCACCCACTGGCAACAGCGCTGGCTTGCTTGCTTGGCGCGCAAGCAGCGCGTTGTCACGGACACTGTTTCCACGGTGATAGGGCAGCCGTGGCACGCCCATGCTCTGTGTGATGCGCGACAGGACGCCGGTGCATTGCACAGACCAGCTGCTGGTGGTTCTGAACGGTGTACTCGTACACTGCACTCGTGCAAGCATGCGTGCTAACCTACAATAGCCGGAGACGACTATGTAGTTGTATACTAAGTTATCATGCCCCCGGGGGCACGTGTACTCGACGTGTTTCGCTACGCCCAGAACTGCGGGCAGTGTCACTGTCGGTTTCGTGGCCCACTTTATCCTGGCTTCGGCAGTCCGTATTATTTTATTCTCTGGTGTGTTTGTGCGTGTGTGTGTGTGCGCGCGCGCGCGCGCATGTGTGTGTGTGTGTGTGTGCGTGCGTGTGAAGGCTTCCCATTGTATAAACAGGTGGTGCTCTTTGGGTGGAAAGACAGGTTTTTCTCGTCCATATTATATGAGTGATAAATGCATGCCCTAACATCTTTATCCATCTTTTATTCTGTTTGCCTGGTATTCGGAATTATTTTTGAATTTCTTTTTCGTTTCCACCTGATTCCAGATCAGTGTAGTTGTCTGGCACAGTGACTATTGTTGTATTGGCAACGCATTCTCACATGCTGGACGTGTGTGTGGGTGTGCGATCGATACGCCAACGCTCAATGTTCACTTTAATAATTCATGTGCCTTCACTGTCTTTGGGTTACTAGTACAGTCATGTAGGTCAGTGCTAATACTACCACTCATATCACACAGGATAATTACATCATACTACAGAGTCTACAGTACAAGTAGTATTATTACTACTACGGCCGCAAGGTCGGGAGCCCCTTCGCAGCTTATTGCCGCCGGCTGTGCTGAATCGGGCAGAGGCGTGACCGTTCGTCTTTGCATGCCGGTAGGCATTCGTGTAAGGTAACGGTTTCGTGTGAAGCTTTTGCGTTCAATTTTGTATTTCAATTGAGTGTTCTATTTATTTCCGAAATTGGGTTGTCCTTTTGCTTTGACTCTTACTTCATGGTGTGAATAAAACCGTTCTCAAAGAGTAGTATTACTACCGGAATACGTCTGTGTGGGCCGCATTGATGCAGTTTCCTAGTGTGCAACTGACCTCTTTCTTTCAATCATAGAGGTGGTGAAATTGATGACATTCGGGGGGGGGGGTTCTTCAATGATTTGCGTGTGTGTGCGTGCGCGTGTGCACATGTGATTTTTAGGGGGGGGGGGGGGGGGGGTGCGAGCAGCCACATGTGAATGCATGCCAGTGTCCCTGAATATGGGTGACGAGTACAATAATGATACGTGCTCATATTTTCTCATTCATTCAATCAAATCGTGATAGAATCAAGCAAGAAAAATCACTGGCCAGGTCATCAAAATATTAATAATCATTGAGAGATGGTGCAGCAGAGCTCTATAGTAAAAATATTAAATGTTTTCTTATCATAATAATAATCAACCTGTCTATACTTAAATCATCATCAGAAGCACACAGCGACGACTCTCTGCTATAGAAAATGTTCAAAACGCAGCGTTTTTCCCCTAGATTGTAAGCCGACATGAGCATAGCATTATACTAGTGATGATCAGGGGGTGCAAGGGTGAAGCTGGTCACACATCTCCTTAATGAGCTACTAGTATGTCTCGGTGATGCAGTGGGCGTAAAACAGCGGCGCTAATAGTCGTGTCAACAGTATTCCTATCTACCGTATTACATACATACCGGCCAACCTTTTCCGGCAAACGTGACATCGGGTCTATGCCATGCCTAGGTATGAACATTGCATACAAATGCAGACGTGTGGGCATGCGACAAATGAATGTTTGGGTGCCTATGACCACCCTCGATATCGGGACGGTTGCCATGTATGACACTGGCACTACAATATCATGAATATATACAACTGTCTGCCCAGGTCATGTTCAAGCTAATGACCAGACGCCGTTGTCGACCAGTTCTGAACAATGTGCTCAGTTCGAGAAGATTTAGCGTTAGTGTTCATCAAGAGTACACAGGCTTCAATGTGCTGAATAGCACTGCATACAGGGGTGGATGTGTTGCCGTTCAGGGCGGAAACCGGCATGGTACGGAATTCAGACTCACACGCACGCACACACCTACGCCCATTCTAGTGCCAGACCTGTTTCTTGCCGCGGCCCGGGATACGACTCTGGAGAGACGATCTTAAAATAGGGAAGATCGTTAAACACAGGCAGAGGCTCAGAAAGGTACACGGAGCATATCACTAAGCTGCTGCGGCCGAAGTTGGCAGCAGTGAATCCAACGACTTGGCTTGAGCTGATATCGCTCAAGTCATTGAAGCAGATGTCCAACTCCTGTAGGTGTGTCCAGCACTGGCGGGCTGCTGTCAGTGCTGGTAGACACGATGACGTTAGTCCACACCGTGCAAGGCAGAGTATTCTCATGTGCGAGCACTCTCGACATGCTTGCAAAATCTGGGCGGCACCATGGTCTCCTAATTCCGGATTATTACCCATGTCCAGCAAAAAGACCGATTTGATGCCAGCCAAGCAGGTTGCCAAGGTGATACCAGTGCCAGAAGTTAGACTACATGAGTTCAAGGAGATCTTTTGCAGTTTACGGGGGTTCGATGTAATAGAGTAAGGCTCACAACGGAGAGTGTCGGTTGCTTCCATGCTGAAATTGTTGTTGCTGATGTCCAACACCTCCAACTGCATCCAGCGGAGAAGACCCACGATTATGGATGGCAGCGACACTGCAGTCAAGCCGCACATCGACAATGTGACTGTGGTCATTTCCGTGCAGTTGTGAAGTACACGGCATATCTCCACAAAGGCATCGTCCCCGAGATCAGGATTATCTCCCAAATCAAGTTTACGAAGACTACTGTTCTCGGCCAGTCCTGTCACCATGGCTACGCCTGTAGAGAAGGTCAAGTGGCATGATCGTAAACGTAGCGTTTTAAGCTGTTGGCATGACGACATACTCTGCAGAGGGCTTGGACCCGCATTTTCAGATAGAGCATGGAAATCAGTGCTGCTGAGATCCAGCTCTGTGAGATGTGACCATTGTGGCAAAGCCCCAGAGAGAGAAGGCAATGTGAGTGCGACATACAACTCCCCACAGATCTTCAGCGTCGTCAAGCTACTACTTGAAGTCTTGATGGCCTTCATGACGACTTCAATGACAGAATCATCCGAACATGGCCCTACACGCAATTCCTGGATTCCAGAACATAGTGCCAAAGATGATGGGAAATGAGCTGCATTTGACGATGTCCAGAAGTCAACTGAGATGCTCTGGATGGCGATGGATCGATGATGCTCCAGGACCGTGCCAATGGAACGGCAATCTGCTGGGTGGACATATCCTTCGATCTGGAGTTTTTGCGAGCGGAGCACAACACCAACTGATGGTAGTGGACAATCAACCTTTTTCTGGTGGACAGCAAACTCTGCGAAGCATGGGAATATAAGAGTCGATTCGAAGCGAAAGATACCACCAATCCAACGTTCACTCCAGTCCGTGTCTGGGCCAGGAAGTTTATCCTCGCAGTGCTGTCTGAGTCGGGGGCAAACATTGTGCAATGACCGCATGAGACTAAGATAATTGGCATCTTCAACGCCATCCTGCCACTTCGAGAGGAGAACTCTTAGCCAGGCAAGATCAGATGAAGCCCGGCCTTCTTTCGGGATCCTTGACCTGACATAGTCACATGCATCGTGCCCATCAAGGGAATCGCAGAGTAGTTCACCTGCAAGCTTAGGCATCAGCTCACGTGTTAGTGCTTCACTCAGAGGCAGGATGAAATTAAACGGGAACAAAGTAGTGTCACGTACGCTTAGGTCAATCAAATCGTCCCTGCGAACTCGTAGAGCTGATCTGTGTTTTATGAGTGCATTGACAAGCCACTCCGCTTGACCAGCATTCAGACGTGCACAGAGCAGTATCCAGAACATTCTCAAATGACCACTTTCAGCACCAAGATCGTCCACAAGTTGAACAATACTGGCCCTGGTAATGCGATGGTCATGCAGCAGCGCCTGTGACTGATAGATGGCTGCAAGATGCTCTTGGACAGTCAAGTGACTGAAGCGATACTGCCTGACTGCATCCTTTGACAGAGACTCTTCGCAGGTTACCAACAGACCAAGACAGATAGCTTCATCGCTCAGACCATACTCCTGGACATCCTCCTCGCTGAAGATCAACTGCTTTCTCGTCAGCATGCTTAACGCAAACTTCCCTATGTCCACGATCAGAACCCGCACGGCTTTCGGTATGGCAGTCCAGCGGCCAAGTTTTCGAGCGCATTTCCGCTCGGCGATCTGCACCACCATCTGCTCGAACAGATCAGCTATACACTGAGGGATGAAATCGTCAACATGGTACACCGTACAAACCTGCTTTGCAATGAACGGCGTGGCCATCATTCCACGCAGATAGTCCGATCGCTTTATCTCGGCAGTTAGTTTGGCAGCTTTTTCAGAACGGAGCACTTTGTTGACGTACATCTGGACATCATCTGGTTGAAACCCCACTAGCTCGACGTGCTGTTGAAAGTGAGGCATGGCAGACAAGCTGAAAACGTCCGGGCACGGGCGTGAGGTCACAATGAGGTGCACACCCGGCAGCTCTTCACCCTGAATCACGCCTTGCACAAAGCCACTGCATTCTGAAAGGTTGATCTCGTCCAGCCCGTCCAGAACCAGACACAAGGCGTCGGGCTGAGCTCGTACATACTCGCAGATCACTTGCCGATCGTGGCCATCCTCGATTCCGATTCCTTCAAGACCAAGCAAACCGCTGAGCGACTTTGCCATTTTCACATCCTCATGATGCAGCTCCCTTGCTATAAGCAGTTTCTTGCGCTGGCATAGCTGCCCCATAGCCCACTTCAGTGGCGCCACCTTGGTGAACGCAAACGTCTTCCCACAGCCGGCACTAGCCACGGCTATTGTTCCCACCGTACTGCCTGGCTCTGCTTGCTGATTATCACTTGCCGCGTCTCCGATGACCGACTCCAACTGCACTGGCTGCATCGTCCGTCCAGCCTCGAGGAACACGTGCTCTGCGCGTCTGAAGTCAAAGCTGGAGTCTTCGCTTCGGGCGAACGCGCCGCGCAGACTACCCTTTGGCAGCATGAGCAAGTTGATTTGAACATTCTCTACAGTTGGGACCGTGCCCTTGGGCAACATCCCCAGGATAAACGGGTCCCTAGCACGGCGATAACGAGCGGCTAGAAGATCTTGGGCACGCTGCACCTGCGGCGGTGGCGCCACATCACCCTGCTCACCTTCTGCTGCTGCCACTGGTGCTGCTACTAGTGCTGCTGGTGCTGCTGCTGCGGTTGCTGCTACCGGTGCTGCTGGTGGTGGTGCTACTGGTGCTGCTGTTGCTGCTACTACTACTAGTGTTGCTGCTGTAGGAACTATTCTCTCCGCATCATCTGCTGCACACGATGAGCTGCCTGCATCACGGAACAGGACGGTAAGACAACCAGGCAGCATTGTTTTTAGTGATAGGAAATTATAGGCCACATGCCTCATTATCATACTGCTCTCTTCTCTCCGAAATTCAACACTTGAAAGCCAGATATGAAAGAAAGAAAAAATCATCAGTCGCACCACCGGGACTCGAACCAGGGACCTTGCTATTCGCGAGCAATGCTCTAACCAACTGAGCTACAGTATGACTCTTATCCACAGTGATGGTAAATCTATCCTTCTTCGATCAATCAATATCTGGCTTGCATGATACTGGCAAGTCACACCAATCAACTCTTGATTGGTGTGACTTGCCAGTATGATGCAAGCCAGATATTGATTGATCGAAGAAGGATAGATTTGCCATCACTGTGGATAAGAGTCATACTGTAGCTCAGTTGGTTATAGGGGATTCACACACACACGGGTAAACCTGAGGTCACAGGACAAGGTAAAAGTTCAGACCTTCGGTCTACAGAGTGGGGCCGTTCACACCCGTGGTCAGTTTTGCCTTGGCCGCACGTTTGGCCATGAACTTGTGGCGGGGCAACTAAAAAATAATCTGTACTGCATTTTTGTAGTACATTCTGTACTGTATCTTGCATTCGCCATGCACGATTTTCTGATGGGCACTGTCTGAAAATGCAAGTTGCGATGCACTCGTACAACTAGGGTTCAGAGTTTTCACCAAAGACAAGATCTACGCATGCGCGTCTTATAGCCATGGGATTTTTCTAGGGCTGAAACGATCGTGGATTTTCACGTATCGATTACTCTTTAGCTTAACGATCGAGTAATCGATTATAATCGTTAGCAAATAGTGTCATAATTCTGTGCAAACATTACTCTGTTTCCACAAACTATGCCTTCATAATACCAACAAATCTGCATTAGTGAAAGGGTAGCTCCAAAACATGGCAGTTTTGAAGTCAATTTAACCTCAGAACATGAACCATACCCCTGGCAACTGCATACTCCCAGCGGAAACTGATTCAAACTTCATAAAACGAGGGTTTACAGTACTTTCTGGACACAAATTTAAAAAACGCAAAATAATCGTAATCGGTAATCTAAACGATTGCTCGATCGTTAGAGTTATCAAACAACTACTCGATTATTCGGTATAATCGTTTCAGCCCTAGATTTTTCCCTTGACAAACGCCCTGAGACCCACGGCCACGGCTTTGCCAATTTGTTCCCGAGAGGTTCTTCCTTTCCCCCAGTACCATAGTTTCCATAACAACTTTCCCATAACCGTGGTTTTACCCGTGTGTGTGTGAATCCCCTAGTAGAGCATTGCTCGCGAATAGCAAGGTCCCTGGTTCGAGTCCCGGTGGTGTGACTGATGATTTTTTCTTTCTTTCATATCTGGCTTGCAAGTGTTGAGTTTCGGAGAGAAGAGAGCAGTACGTGGCATGTGGCCTCTGGTTTCCTATTACTTTGAAGTTCTCCGTGAAGTCCAAATATGAAAAAGCATTGTTTTTAGTTACAGTAAAAGCTGTCAAGGCGACCAATCCGATAAGGCGACCCCCTGCACCAGAAGACCACTGCAATCAGACCTGGGGATGCACCCTCCCCCCCCCCCAACATTTCGACCTAAGTTCAGCATGCACATAATGACCATGAATGACATGCACCAGCCATCCTACACATATACCACCGTGCACCCCCCCCCCCTAAAAGGGAGACTGGCTACGCCCCTGGTGGACGACGTCTCTCTCTCTGACCAGGGCAGCCTCAGCTTGTGTTCCTAACGCAAACGTGCTGCAACTTCGGGGCTTTCTTTTCAATAATATACACGCACGTACAACGCCAGGGGCGTAGCTCGTGCATCTGTGGTGCAGGTGACCATGTACTGTATCAGACTTTATGCTGACCTTTCATACAAACTTCCAGTCAACTTGCCCATCATGCTGGCGGCTTATACTGAGCATATAAACCTCATACAAACCCCATACAAACCCCATATAGACCGCCACCATAGAAACAGGAAGAAGTTGACTGTCAGTTTGTATGAAGGTCAGCATAAGTATAATACATCCCACTAGTACGCATGTACGTGAAATATAAACCGACATACAAACCTCGGCTTCGCCTTGGTTTGTATGTCGGTTTATATTTCACGTACAAGTGTACTGTTGGGTTGTATTATATACGTACATCTGTGATGTGGTGACCATGTATCAGACTGTACATCTGTGACGGGAATGGTCTTAGAGACTGCTTCTCCCATTCCCGTTGGCCTTCCAATAACGTAATTACTTACACTCTTCCTGCATGCTCCGAATTACTTATTATTATTCATGCATAATGTACAACTATTACTCTACACACTTCATTTCTACACATCCTTATTCTACCTCCCACACCGTACTCTACACACAGCGGGGAGTCGAATACGACTCCATGCATTTGATTATGAAAAGATGAAGCTGGCCACGACGAGGTTTTTCCCTCAGTTCTTGGTTAGTCCAGAAAAGAGTGAGATTGATTTGTCGAGTGAGCTGGGTCTCTTACATGGTGTCAGAACTGATCTAGAGCATTGTTCGTCAGGCTCTTGTATCCACGCCCGCGCCGTTCGTCGGCCACGCCGATAGCCCACTTGAATATTTCCGTTTGTCGGAAGGTTTTTTGTTGTTGTTGTTGCTGTCAGTCAGCATCGCCATAATCCCATGGACTTGGCGCGATTAGCATTTGCTCGTCAGGAGCAGCTCCGAGGATTTTGCCGAGACCGCCATCTGCCCATGGCAGGGACGCGAGCCGATTTGGTCCAACGCCTACTGGCACACCACGTCGATGTTGTGACGGATTTCGAGGACGTGGCGGAATACGAAACGGAGGCAGAGGACGCGGAGGCCGAGGGTCGGACAGATTATTTGAGTGGCAGCATAAAATTCGAAAGTCCACCCAACGCTGTTCGCGGATCCGTACACGGCAGCACCGGCCCTGCACGGCCCAGGCCCATATCGGCACCCAGGCCACGCGTCCCTCGTCGCCCCTCGAGCGACCCTGCGACAGCCATATCGAGCACTGCAGCGCTGGAAGCGTACGGACGAGGCCAAATGCAGCAGTCTCCCCGCTTCCAAGCACAGCAGTCGCTCCCGCATATGGCACCACTGCCCGATGTGTCAGTTGGCGCTCCTGGTTTGGCGAGTCCAGCTGGGTGTGAAGGCGTTGATCCCACGGACCAAGTGTCTCTACTCACCCAACTGGTCACCCAGCTGACACAGGCACAGCTCTCAGCCATGGAGCATACCACCAGTAAGCCACCAAAGGTCCCCATCCCCAACCTGAAGCCATCTGAGGATATTGAGGTCTTCCTCACTGGCTTCGAAAGACTGATGGAGACATACCAGGTGAACAGTTCCCACTGGGTGGCACTGCTGAGCCCCCGCCTCAGTGGTCCCGCGCTGCAGGCGTACGTCTCTCTGCCACTCACACAGGCTCGCGAATATCCGCTCCTAAAGGCGCAGATCTTACTCCGCTACGCTGTGACTACAGAGTCTAGCCGCCGTCGGTTCCGGGAGGTGGTGATGCGCCCCGCTGACTCCGCCATCGAGCTTGCCACCCGGATTCGAGACCACGGGTCACGTTGGTTTCGCTGTGCCCCGACCAGGGATGACGTTATCGAACTGGTCTTGCTGGAGCAGTTCCTGTCCGCAGTGCCGCAGTCGCTAAGAGTCTGGCTCAAGGAGCGAAAACCAGTGTCCTTGTCTGCAGCCGCATCACTGGCACAGGACTACTGTGACGCTCGTGGGCCGAGGGAGACCACATCCGCTTATGCCCGATGCCATACTTGCCACCAGGCTGGCCATCTGGCCAGGGACTGTCCCCAGCGGCGCCCGACTGCATCTTTGCCTAAGGCGACAGACTCTGGGAGTAAGGGCCCAGGATCCGGCTCTTTCCCCGGTTCCTCGGCACCACCGATGCAAATGGACCCTGCTGGCAAGGGCCCGGTTGCTGGTACGTTTCCAACCAGGCCACCTCTCCCACCCAAGCGCGCGCCCGGTTCAATGCTGCCGCGATGCTACCATTGCCACGAACGTGGGCACATTGCTTTGAAATGTCCAAAGCGCAACGAGTCGGTCGCATTGCTCGTTGACCCAACTGGTACGCCCCCGCAGGATCCTGCGACGCATCCTCCGACATCAGGTGATGTCGACCTATCCGAGGACGACTTGTTGGGGGAGGCCTACTATTGTGCAGAGATGGCCGACAACCAGGGTTCGTGCATCCCTACGTGCCTACTCACCGACCCGCCCTCGTCCAGCGATCCTTGTCCTGAATTTATTGTCTCTGGCGTCGTCAACGGCCAATTTGTACCCCGCATCGTGGTGGACACAGCTTGCGGCCGTACTATGATTCACGACAGCCTAGTCCACCCCGACCTACTCACTGGGGAGCGGATCACCATTCGCTGTGCTCATGGCGACGAGGTGCACTATCCGTTAGCTAGAGTAACCATTGCTATTGGAGACAGCACATATTACGTGCAGGCTGCAGTGTCACCCCGTCTGCCTCGACAGGTGCTCCTTGGTCGGGATGTACCAGACATATCACTCCTTGTCACGGGGGCTTCTTCCCCATGCACAGAGGCGCTCGCAGCTGTGACTAGGGCCCAGACCAGGCAATCGCAGCCTACCAGCACTCCTGGTGCCCTTGGTACCATTTTCCCATTTACGGATGACCTATTTGACTCCGAAGCCCCGACTGCACTCACTAACCCCGCAGACGTACCTCATTCCTCTCCAGTCTCAGCCGAACATACCGTGACCCCGACCAATCCAGAGCTCGTGGGCGATGCTTCGACATTTGCAGCGGCACAACGACAGGACCCCACCCTGCGGGTGTGCTGGGACAAGGTCACGCAATCATCCTCCACAGGCAAGGAGGTCTTTTGTGTCCGAGACGGCCTCCTGTATCGTGAGTTCCGCCCGGGCGAAGATGCCACGGCGCAGGACACCTACCGCCGTGCTCAACTGGTACTTCCCGACAGCCGGCGGAGCATCATCCTCCAGCTCGCTCATGCGGTTCCTATGGCTGGACACATGGGACGCGACAAGACGGCGCAACGCATCCTACTGCACTTCTGGTGGCCGAATGTCATGGCTGATGTAGCTCGTTATTGCGAGTCCTGCAAAATGTGCCAAAAATGCGCCCGATCCTTGACCAGCGACCGGGCTGAGCTGATCCCGTTACCTGTCATTGGTGAGCCATTCCGCTGCATTGCACTCGACATTGTCGGTCCCCTTGAAAGGACTGCCTCCGGCAAGAAATACATCCTCACTGTGGTCGATCGGGCAACACGTTACCCCGAAGCCATCCCACTTCGTAGCATCGATGCACCTACCGTGGCCGACGCCCTTATCTCCATATTTAGTCGTGTGGGACTGCCGGACACGATTCTGAGCGACCAAGGTTCCAACTTCACCTCCGAGGTTATGCGCCAGGTGTCCACTCTGCTCCGGATCAAGCTAATCACCAGCACCCCATACCACCAGCAAACAAACGGCTTGGTGGAACGCTTCAATGGCACGCTCAAAACCATGCTCCGCAAGTTCGCCACGGAGGCTCCCCGACACTGGGATGAACTCATCCCATATTTGCTGTTCGCATACCGGGAGGTCCCGCAGTCCTCAACCGGGTTCTCACCATTCGAGCTACTGTACGGTCGCCATGTGCGGGGGCCTCTAGCACTCGTCCGGGACGCCTGGGCCAACCCGGCCGAGGAGGAGTTCACATCCACAGCCCAGTACGTGATTGACATGCGCGAGCGTTTGGACCAGGTCAGTTCAGCTGCGGCCACCAACCTCCTCCGGGCACAGGACAGACAAAAATCCCATTACGATCGTCACAGCCGCCATCGGAGCCTTCAGCCAGGCGACCAGGTCCTTCTCCTTCTGCCCTCCTCTCCGAAGAAGTTGGAGGCCATGTGGCAGGGGCCCTTTACAGTCACCCGCCAAGTAGACAGCGTCAATTATGAAATCGACCTGGGTCCCCACCGCCGTAAGCGACTTCGTACTTTTCACGTTAACTTGCTGCGCACGTTCCGTCAACCACAACTTGCCGCTTTCACAGCGTTTGGTTACCCCGACGACGAGGACCCGTCCACCGAGCAGCTGTTGGAGGACAGCTCCCCTCTGTCTCTGGGCCCGCCGGCCTCACCGTCGATCAACCCTAGCCTCTCTGCCGATCAGCGTGCTCAACTGTCGGCAGTGCTGGATGACTTCAAGGCCACGCTGGACCCATCTCCCGGCCGCACCAACATCTGCTCTCACCAGATCCATACAGGCTCTGCCAAACCCATCCGCAGCCGCCCATACCGGCTCGCCCAGGCCCATCACCGTCTCGTCCAGGCGTCCGTGGACGAGATGTTAGCCATGGGTGTCATCCGACCGTCCACCAGCCCCTGGTCCTCGCCAGTGGTGCTCGTGCCGAAGAAAGACGGAGACATCAGATTCTGCGTTGACTATCGGGGCCTCAACCATGTGTCCGAGTTTGACGCCTATCCCATGCCCCGGGTGGACGAGACTCTTGACCGAGTCGGCACAGCGCAATTTATCTCCACCTTGGATCTGTCACGTGGATATTGGCAGATTCCTCTCGACGCTGATGCGTGCGCTAAAACGGCGTTTACTACACCTTCCGGGCTCTATGAGTTCACCGTCATGCCGTTTGGCCTGCATGGGGCACCGGCGACATTTCAACGCTGCATGGATTCTCTCCTCCATGACCTGCCCTTTGTTGCTGCCTATTTGGATGATGTGGTCATCTTTAGTCGCTCTTGGGAGGAGCATCTTCGCCATTTGGCCTTGGTATTACATCGCCTCCAGGCCGCTGGGCTGACAGTCAAGCCACAAAAGTGCTCCCTCGCCATGCAGGAGACCAAGTTCCTCGGCCATGTCATCGGTCTTGGTCATGTACTGCCCGACCCCGAGAAACTTCTTGCCATCCACTCCTGGCCGCAACCCACGACCAAGCGACAGGTGCGTTCCTTCCTCGGCTTATGTGGGTATTACCGGCGGTTCATTGCAGATTTCTCCGCCATTGCTGCACCTCTTATTGCTGCTACAACCAAATCCGCCCCGGTGCGGGTGGTCTGGACGCCGGCCCTCGATCATGCCTTCCAGACGCTCAAGGACCAGCTAGTACGGGCTCCTGTGCTGTCCTGTCCCGACTTCAGCCGACCGTTCATCGTGCACACGGATGCCTCTGACTTGGGTCTGGGTGCCGTGTTGTCCCAGACGGTGGGGGAACAGGAGCATCCCATCGCCTATGCCAGCCGGAAGCTCCTCCCCCGAGAGCGACGCTATGCTACCATCGAGAAGGAGGGTTTGGCCATCAAGTGGGCGCTGCAAAAGTTTGCGCCCTACCTTCTCGGTCGGCGTTTCACCCTCATCACGGACCATCGCCCTCTGCAATGGATCGCCCAACATAGCAGCGGGAATGCTCGTGTGGCCCGTTGGTCTATTGCTCTCCAGCCGTTTGCATTCGACGTTCTCTATCGCGCGGGTGCCAGTAATGGAAATGCTGATGCTTTATCCAGGCAGTGAGGCGGCTCAGCCTCTGTCGTCGCAAGCTGGCTGCTTGCGACTTGTGAAGGGGGAAGGTGTGACGGGAATGGTCTTAGAGACTGCTTCTCCCATTCCCGTTGGCCTTCCAATAACGTAATTACTTACACTCTTCCTGCATGCTCCGAATTACTTATTATTATTCATGCATAATGTACAACTATTACTCTACACACTTCATTTCTACACATCCTTATTCTACCTCCCACACCGTACTCTACACACAGCGGGGAGTCGAATACGACTCCATGCATTTGATTATGAAAAGATGAAGCTGGCCACGACGAGGTTTTTCCCTCAGTTCTTGGTTAGTCCAGAAAAGAGTGAGATTGATTTGTCGAGTGAGCTGGGTCTCTTACAACATCTGTGATGTGGTGACTATGTATCAGACTGTACATCTGTGGTGTGGTGACCATGTATCAGACTGTACATCTGTGGTGTGGTGACCATGTATCACCATGCTGCCAATTTTGCCTATGTAGTACATATGACGGCCATTTTCTGGTGTGGTGACCGCACTACACTGACTATACGTGAGCTACCACCTGAACACAATAGCTATCTTGTTAGGATTGGGGTAAAAGAAACGGGGAGGGCATGTAGCCTGGATTGGGGCAAAGGGAAGGAGGGCATGTAGCCTGGATTGGGGCAAAGGGAAGGAGGGCATGTTGCCTGGATTGGGGCAAAGGAAAGGAGGGCATGTAGCCTGGATTGGGGCAAAGGGAAGGAGGGCATGTTGCCTGGATTGGGGCAAAGGAAAGGAGGGCATGTTGCCTGGATTGGGGCAAAGGAAAGGAGGGCATGTAGCCTGGATTGGGGCAAAGGGATGGAGGGCATGTAGCCTGGATTGGGGCAAAGCGAACGAGGGCATGTAGCCTGGATTGGGGCAAAGGGATGGAGGGCATGTAGCCTGGATTGGGGCAAAGCGAACGAGGGCATGTAGGCTGGATTGGGGCAAAGGGAAGGAGGGCATGTGGCCTGGATTGGGGTGAGGGGAAGGAGGGCATGTAGCCTGGATTGGGGCAAAGGGAAGGAGGGCATGTAGCCTTCGAGCTACTGTAAAACCGGACAATTTCGGTGGAGATCTATTTTCGGTAACTTCAGTAAAGGTAATTTTTACCTAAAAATAAAACGCGAGATTTTCGCGCTACCGAATCGCTGATTTTGGGAAATACCGAAATATGACACCACCGAAAGTTCCCAGGGTTGCAGTATCTTGTTGGGGATTGGGGCAAAGGCAAGGGCGTGTGGCCTGTCACCTTACCTGCATCCAGCTGAGGACCCGGCCGCCAAAGAAGTTGAACCATTTGCTCATGCCTGCCATCATAGCCCAGCGTCTTGACGACATTACATAGCTTCTGGTAAGCACACGGGCCTTCGGCGACGATTGATTCGACAAGCGCTTCGTTGTGATCCGCAGTACCACTGTTGGCCAGAGTCCGTTTCAGTGTGGCAATCGTAGCACGGTCCGTGATGAGGTGAGCCCGTATGGCCGCAGTGCGCAGCCTCTCCGGAGGCACTGTATTCAGCCATGGCTGAATGTCACAGATGAATGTTTCCGAGTCAAACGGGTTACCAGCTGGAAATGCAAGCAAATGCAAAGCATTAAAAAAACTTGAAGCACACTGCACCGTGATAACTCAACAGTGGTGTGAAAAGAAATCCAGCCCACAGTTCTGTTGGACGCCGAAGAACGGAGAGCCGAAGAACGACCAGGCTAGAATTTCACCAAGCACAGCATACCAATGTATACACGGTGACTCAACTGTGCATAGACTGTAATACATGTAAAATACGAACAGTCCAGGCTAGGAGGCTGACCCCCCTCCACCCCAAGTTCTTCAGGGACCGACATTACTGTAATGATTGCAGCAGCAGCAGCAGCAGCAGCAGCAGCAGCAGGAGGAGCAGCAACAGCAGCAGCAGCACTGAGCAGCAGCAGCAACAGCAGCAGCAACAGCAGCAGCAGCAGGAGCAGCAGCAACAGCAGCAGCAACAGCAGCAGGTGCAGCAACAGCAGCAGCAGTAGCAACAACAGCAGCAGCAATAGCAGCAACAGCAGCAGCAACAGCAGCAGCAGCAACAGCAGCAGCAACAACAACAGCAGTACTCGCGGCAGCAATAACAGCAGCAGCAGCTGTCGCGAATCGCGAGCCGGACAATCACCAGTCCACAACTCCTTATTTGTGCATGTTTGCGCCTCGTGCGCCTAAAATCTGCTATGCGTACTGTACTACCGTACGCTGTTTTTTCTCATAAATTATTTTCTCTTCAGGGTGCTAGTGCCGAAATGGGCCAGCACCGTGCTCACCTTTCTTCGGTAGTATTCATATTTGGTTACAGTGTGCCCATAATAGTGTTGCTGCTATCTTTCCCTTGAAAGCAAGGCTCTTTCCGGTTGGTGAAAGGCTGCCCAACCTTTACTTCATTATCATCAACTTCATTACCTGAAAGCTTACTCGTAGCCTTGACCAGAGTCAAGCTGCAAAAGCCTTAGCTCTTGTTCTGTGTTTATGGACTGACTCATAATCAGCCAGTGACACATAACAGCAGCAGCAGCAGCAACTGCAGCACCAACTGCAGCAGCAGCAGCAGGCGCAGCAACAGCAACAGCAACAGCAACAGCAGCAGCAGCAGGAGCATCTCTGGCCCTGCTTCAGCATATCATACATTGGTATGATGGTGGTCCTAGCAGTTCACATACCATCCATGCTGTAGCTTCTGCAAAACCTCTAGTGTCATGACACATCCATGCCCCCTCATCAACCCCACCTGCATGGAAACACAATGAGGAGACAGGCAATGCGAAGACAGGCAATGAACAGACAGACACGTGGGTAAGCAGTCAGTGAGCAGGCAGACAATGAGTAGGCAGACAGTGAGTAGGCAGATAGTGAGTAGATAGACAGTGAGTAGGTAGACAATGAGTAGGCAGACAGTGAGTAGGCAGACAGTTAGTAGACAGACAGTCAGTAGACAGACAGTGAGTAGGCAGACAGTAACAAACAGTGCTGTAAACCTAGTCTTGCAAGTGCTAGCGACAGCACATGTACAGTGTACCATCCAGTCTTGCAAATAACAGTCACACCTGCGTTTGCCGCCCCCATGTAACAAGCCGGGAATCCCGCCTTGACAAGACAAATCCGTATGCACCGACAGCGCTGTGGGTCGAATATGAATCGCTGGATCAAGCGGAATCCTGTCATATCAGGACGGTCTCTACTGCACCAAGGGCATCCGGTTTGGGCAGGTTTTATTGTACCAGCAGGAGTACCTGAAACCCAGAGTGCACAGCTTCTGACCTTGTCTACATGAGTGTCCAGTGTCCGTCATTTATTATTATTTATTATTGCAAATGACGCTGAGTAATTGCACAATGTATAAAAAACAGCATTTGCCAAATGGAAGGAAGAATGAGGAACGAGTTGGAATGAGGTGCTTATACGCATGCAACTGCAGAATAGGTGAAACAGAAAATATCAAAACAGTCACCTAAAAATAAAAGAACGGGTTTGAGTTTTATTTGTTGAAGTAGAAGTGTCTGTCATGGCCGCAATACTAAAACCTGCACTTGTAGGTCATACTTGATGCAGGTGTAATAAGCCATTATTCTAACGAGGCGCATATATAACGATTTCCCAAAATTGACTAGTTTACGTGTACCAAAGGTAACGATTCTCATTCACTCTCTACGCTCAATAGGACAGTATATGTATCGATTTCTGTATAACGATTTCTATTTTAACGACAGATTTCTCCTCGTTAACTCGTTAAAGAGTTAGTACTTTGTTTATGGCTTTTACAGTACTGGTGTATTCATACCAGGGAGTAGTAAAATAGTTACTCGATTCGTATTTCCCGCTCCTTCACCATGGCAATGAGAGCCAATCAAGTATAGAAGAGCGCATGCTCCGGTGGTTCTCTGGTGTTGTGTGTTGTGTCTTCCTTCTTGTCTACTCTCTTCTCTTAATACTTCGTCCACATAATTAATAATTAATCAATCCTACAAAACCCCTGTGTTCTGGAAGTCTGAGGGGACTTTATGTGGAGGGAAGTGGCGTAGTGCATACAGCTGTGCTGCAGTTGTCCAGCAGCGGGAGATCTTCTTGTACGCACTACATCACCAAAATTATGATATATCAAGAAAATTCTCCGTGATAGCAACCCATTCGGAGCTGCACACTCTGTATACCACATTTCCGGGGTGCTAGCCAAGCAGGCAGGCAGAGTGGGATGGTCTAAGACCATGGCTGAGAAACAGAGGGTACCAGGTTCAAGTCCTGCTTGGAAGCGGAAGGATTCTTGGTGCGCTGAAGCCGAGACCTCAGGTCGGCGGAGGTGCTCCAGTTTCACCACCACAGGTATGTCTGCAGCCACCTCTATCATGCAATATTCTGTTCTCGAAGTTCGTGGCTTCTCGTAAAAAAAATCCAGACGTGCTGCGACCCACAGTTAATTGGGAACTCGTGGCCTGGCACAAGGGAAGCATGGAGGCAGCGAACAGCTATGTCAATTGAGATCCAGACTGATGTACATTAATTTTGCAGCCCACAAGACCACACATGTGCACTGACACTCAGCTGTGCACAACAACATCAAAATAAATAATTATACAGCCATGGTCAAAGAGATCCAACCCGCACGTCAAACTGACGAAGGCAGCACCGCGTTTCCATTAGAGAGGTTGCGCACAACGAAGATTTGTAAGATTTTAACCGTCCGCGTTCGAGTGACGAAAGTTGCTACGAAGATCCGTCCAAACGCGACTGAAACAGAGTAGCTCTATGAAAATATTTTTCGTTACCTGGAGTACTAAAATACTGATATTTTACAACTCCCTGTCTTGACTCTTCGCATCCACGCGTCGACCCACTACGAAAAAGTTCACGCGTTATGTGCAACCTCACGGCTTATGGATATTTGTTAGCTTTTTCGTTAAAAATACTCGCTACGGCGCTACGAATTTTCGTTGTGCGCAACCTCTCTATTATCAATTACACCACGAACGGTCCACAAACCCATCCAAGTGACACGTGCGCAGCATGAGACTTGGCACTGCTTTCGGCTCGCGGGGTCGGATTCTTCGGCCACAACTACAGTTCTTTTCTCTGCAGTACCAGCACTTTGGCCGAGTGGTTGTGGGCTTGCCTGCGAATCACAAGGTCCCGAGTTGGAGACCCGTGCTGGGAGCAGGGAGCGTGCAGTGTGCTAACAAATGCGGTGATGCATGCGCGAACCACTTTACATGCAAGGAGCTGTGCCGACACCCACGGTCAACTGGGTACTCACTACTCGGAGTGAGGGTAACATGGACGCAGCTAGCGAGGTATTCGCCCCCTTGTCGCGCATTGGTTGTGAGAGTTGCCACCTCACCCTCGCCAGTAGGCGCTGCATCTGCCACCCTAGTATCACAGGCATGGTGGTGGCCTGGCACGAGCAAAACTTCCTAAGCTGGTTGTGTTTCTCAATACAAATGTATAGCCGGTGGTAACGCGGACGTGCGAACTTTACTTTTTTTACAATTCTCTGCGCGGAAAGCATACATACTTGTAGGTCCGGATTTCCTTTGCCAAACAACAGGGGTGCAAGTACATGTACATGTATGTACAGTGCTGTTCAATGCAATCCAGTCGCATCGCTCAAGTTTGCACCTTGCATCATTTCGCCGCCCACGGTTCGCAGGTCCAGGGCTGCGCAACGCCCGCCGCGTACTTGCGTGACACGGCGCGTTTTCATTGAGTAACACCGTATGTACATGTACACCCCACCGTTAGGCGCTGCATCTGCCGCTAGGGTTTACTGGGGGTTAGCGGCCGTCGTGAGTTCCCTTCGGGAACGGACACGATAATTTACTCTTTTTTTTACATGTACATGTACAAATTCATGATGCCTTACTGGGTGAGCGAAATCCACGAGTGACTTGAACACCATGATGGCGCACACGCGATCAGCCATTCTCCACGACCCACCGCATCTCCAATCGATGCATGGTCACACGTAGCAGTCGTTACTTGTACTTGTAGCGCTAGCAGCAGGATACAGACTACAGTAGGTATGGAGCAGTGCACGTAGTTCTAGTTCAGTTCAACCATGTACAGATGGTCAGTTGGGATGGCAGACGTATAGTAGGTGAGCTACTAGCGCTAGTAGCACGCTAGGACATACGCATAAACTCCCTGTTGATACTAGTACCCGGATATATCCACCGCCGTGTTCCAGGTCGTTAGAGGCCACGGTGAGGTCGCCGTGTGAGGGTGTGGACGGCCGAATAGCAGCAGGATACAAACTTCTTCTTTTTTAATTGTCAACGCACAGCACGCTACCAATCATCCAATGAGTGCGAGTTGAAAGAGAGACGTATCGCACATGCACAGCCCCATGGCGGGGCAGATTCGGGCCAGAGAATTATACTATTTCACACGGCCACTGAGCCGCTGGACGTGACAAAGTCTCCTGGAATTCGGTAAACAGTACAACGCAGCTCTGCAACTGCCACAGTGCGTCCTGCTCTATTTACAAACGTTGCATTGTAGAAATGTTCGGAGACGAAAGACAACAATGCGAGTTATATGGACAGAGGTTTTAGCGCAGAGCATCGACTCTTCTTCAGCTTCTCTCGCTCTCCCCTGCTGTCCCTAGCCTATTCTTTCACTACAATCATAGATCTGCTAGAAATATTCTTCTTCCTTACGAAAAAAGGCTTTCGTTTCTGTCAGGACACTACATGTTACGTATGTATACAGTCAACACTAGCAGTCACTGAGTCAGTGTTGTCTGTTAAGAGCAGCGACTCCCTGGCTAGCTGAGACTGAGAGTCCACCACAAAGAAAAGTCAATGCACATCACCATGATCACGGCCAGGGGATCCCGGGAGTGTACTACTACTACAGAGCTGGCAACTGAAATCCGACCCCCTGGGCGGCGCCGCGCGCCGCCCAGGGGGTCGGATTTCAGTTGCCAGCACTGTAGTACTATTACAGTGCTGGCAACTGAAATCCGACCCCTTGCTGGGGCACCCGGTCGGATTTCAGTTGCCAGCACTGTACTAGTAGTACTATACTTTATCACATGGCACGTGATTGTTGCCCGTACTCCAGCGAATCAGCACCTTTCGCGCCGCGGGCAATAATATGCGATATTGCCCGCAAAAAAATAGTTTATTTGCCCGCAAAAAAATAGTTTATTTCAGTGATCGCGTGACTACGACGACTCTGTAGACTGTACGACTCTATGATCGATCTACGACGAGTCGCAGTGTAGCATTGAGACGAAGATGGAATTCTTTTTGGAGATGGACATCCCGGCAATGGACATGGCCTCGGACGTCTGCCGTGTGGTGCTTGCAGGGATTATTTGTTCAGTCATGTTGGCAGCCTGACCGTCGGTAAGCGTGTGGATAAGATTCAGTTCTGCTCGAAGTGGTACTGTGATCACAAACAATTATTTGAAATAACACAAATTCAACTCAGCGTCGTGCGTTTTCAAATCCTCGCAAAGTCACTGCCTGTGTGTGGTCTTCATGTGCCACGCAAAACTCTTACCAGGCTCATCTGTCCTCTGCCTTCACCTTTGCTTGAACAACAAACACAACAATTCAGGAATGTTTTGCAATGAAAAATACAGCTACCGTATTATCTCTAATATAAGCACAGTCTCCAATAATAGCACGTCTCCAATAATAGAACACCTTGGGGCGGCATTCAAAAAATAAAGTGCTCAGTCTCCATTATTTATAAGCACACTGTGTAAATTCATTATCTGTACCGGCAAAAAAAACCCTGAAATGTGTGTGTCATACATGAATTTGGCATGGCAACATGCCTCTGAAATGAGGTTGAAATAATAATGGAACAGTCTCCAATAAAGGAACGTCTCCATTAATAGCACGGGGCAGAGGTACATTGAAAAAATAAAGGACCGTGCTTATATTAGAGATAATACGGTATCTGGAGCTGAAAAAAAAGAAGAAAAATGTCCTCAGAATTACACACCCGGGAGTCGTCAAATACTTGCACTTGTTGCAGTACTGTATTTGACAACTTCCTGATACACATGTAAGCATGAAGAAACTGTGGTAGCACTCTTAATTTTTCAACTGAAATTATGATTCTGCTGTATTTTATTGTCGTTGCCATGTCTATTGCTATGACGATGCGGTGCCGGCACTTTTTTTCTGTCTCCGTCTTTCAGTACTGTATACTCTCTGATGGCCTGTAGCAGACTTTTTGTTAGGGTGTAGGAGAAATATCTTCATTTTTCCTGTTTTGATAATGATAGCACATCAATATACATTGTGGTCATAATGTGTTGGCATTTGGGCTAATTTCAACAGCAGCCCAATGGTCTGCTCTGTGGGCCATGTGATAAATTTGTTATCGCATGGTTGCTGCGGGCCTTATGGCATATTATTGCCCTCGAGGTTAGCCCTCGGGCCTACGGCCCTCGGGCTAACCTCTCGGGGCAATAATATGCCATAAGGCCCTTGTAACCATGCGATAACATATACATATTGTAGGCCCTGCACTGCACAGACGATATACGCGCGCATGCGTGTAAAAACAAAATGGCGTCACGATTTTAGAAAGAAGTGCTCATGTCAGCGGGTACTGTACTGTTGAACCAGGGAGTCATAGACGACTCCCTGGCCTGGTTGAACTAACTCAGTGAAGATTGCTGCTGATGCTGGCGTTTCCAGTTGGCTAATGGCTGAGCCTCTGTCCGGGATGGTCTCGCCCTGCGATGTGGCTGGGGTATTACGATTACTAGATTAGAGAGTTTTACTTTTAGCAACTCGTGAACGAGTGGACCTCTCGACTCGAGTCTCTACGAGTCGGTGGCAGGGAGCCCTACATACATTGGTATGCGTAGGGCCGCCTGGTCGGTGGTCGACTCGGGTGCCTGGGTTCGAGTCTCGTTGGGTTCGTTTCGCACGAATCAAGCCAAGGGCAGTTGATTCGTTATGCAACAACGAGACTCGAACCCAGGCACCCGAGTCGACCACCGACCAGGCGGCCCTACGCATCAGTGTCTGCTCCAGCGCCGGGTGAGCCGGGTAATCCACCCGGTTGGGCGGCGCTTGGACCCGGTTGAAAATATAGTGACCCGGTTGGTACTTTACACTTTCGAACTTTGAAAGGACTGACTACATGTCCATGGCTTGTATGTGTCAGATACTTCTTCTTCTTTCGTAGTTTTCTAATTCCTGTCCTCTCTTTTCTAACTCGGATGGTGAGCCATAAATAAATGTAGAAAGGAAAAGACATTATGGATACGAGTTAAGAGTAACTGTCCATCACTGTAACATGATACTTTATACAGTCAGAAAGTGCAATAACTAGGCACAAAACTGACAGAGTACGGAGATGTGTTGAGGCTAGGTGTCAGGACATCGAATGTCTCAGTACTCTGTCAGTTTTGTGCCTAGTTATTGCAATTTCTGACTGTATATAGTATCATGTCACAGTGATGTAGAGTTACTCTTAACTCGTATCCATAATGTCTTTTTCCTTTCTCTTTTCTAAATGCGGCCTATCCATTCGCCTTTATAATCACTGGGCCTAGTTCCCGTTTATTGTCCGAATTAAAATAAACCAACCAACCCGAAAAAGCATGTGACTCGGCTGGTGAGACAGCGCCAGGTACATTGGGTACCCGGCTCCCACCCGGTTGAAATGGTTGCGCCAGGTACACGTGTACCCGGCTGTCCTACAATCCTAGAGCAGACACTGCGCATACCAATGTATGTAGGGCTCCCTGCCACTGACTCGTAGAGAGGTCCACTCGTTCACGAGTTGCTAAAACGCTCTATTGTCTATTGACGGCCTCCCACCAACTAATACTTGTGTGTGTGTGGTAGAGACACGTCTGTCGACCATGCATTGACATGCCCTACAGGGGGTTATCCAAGTCTGCGACACAATGAGCTTCGTGATGTGCTGGTGGAGGTGATGACTTCTTCCGCCATCCCGGATGTTCAAACACAGCCACCGCTTTTGCCATTGGATGGTGAACAACTTCACGGCGCCACCGCTAATCGTGCTGCAGAAGCTCGCTTGGAGTATCCGTGCAAGGGGCTTTTGGTCGCCACAGCAAGATGCATTCTTTGATGTGAGGGTTACTCACCCCTCGGCGTCTTTGTTGTCGCGACAGGAAGTCCTTGCACAGATTTCCCGAAATGAACATCAGAAGAAGCGGGCCTATCTTCAGCGTGTTGTCGATGTCGAGAGGGGGTCATTCACTCCGCTCGTATTTTCGACAAACGGCATATGTGGCACGGAGTACGGAGTGTTCTCGTTCAGTTGCCAGCACTGTACATCTAAATACTGTACTGGGCAAAGATAGCAATCTTAGATGGAAATTCAGATTCCTAGAACAATACGACTGACTACTGATGATCAGGTGCATGAACATTTTAAAATTATTTCCAAAGACAAAGGCGACTCAGAGTGGCAATGGTTCTAATTACTTGAGGGTAATACTTGTCTCTCTCTCTCTGTCTCTTTCTCTCTCTCTCTCTCTCTCTCTCTCTCTCTCTCTCTCTCTCTCTCTCTCTCTCTCTCTCTCTCTCTCTCTCTCTCTCTCTCTCTCTCTCTCTCTCTCTCTCTCTCTCTCTCTCTCTCTCTCTCTCTCTCTCTCTCTCTCTCTCTCTCTCTCTCTCTCTCTCTTCTCTCTCTCTCTCTCTCTCTCTCTCTCTCTCTCTCTCTCTCTCTCTCTCTCTCTCTCTCTCTCTCTCTCTCTCTCTCTCTCTCTCTCTCTCTCTCTCTCTCTCTCTCTCTTTCTCTCTCTCTCTCTCTGTCTCTCTCTGTCTCTCTCTCTGTCTCTCTCTCTCTCAGCCCCCCCCCCCCACGTTACGCCTGGTGATTGCAATAAGCAAGAAACTCAGGGTAGCGACAAACTTAGCCTCGCGTGCCTTTGTAACTGTTGTTCTGTGTACTCGAAACAGTACCATAGGCTAGCCATAGGCATAGGATGTGTAGCGTTGCTGGTGGTGTGCTGTGGCAACGTGTCGAGGTCGGCTGGAGACTGCAGCTATGGTGTGATGGTTGATGGAAAATCTTTACCGTTGCTAGATTGACTTTATATGATTGTGGCATGATTTAAATCATAACCTTCCTTTTATTATTGGCCATGGGCCGGCCATTTGTGGAAATACAGAATAATTGCGCACATCATGTTGTGTAGTCTGGCTAATAGGGTGCCCTGCAAGAAGGCTTGGCCCTTAGGCCTGTGGGATTGCCCTATCAAAAATTTGAGTCAAAGACTCACGCTGCTATCTAGTGTTCACGAGCTGTTTGTCGCGCTGGAAACGGAGCGTCTCTGTAAGTTTGTATCCCTGGTGATGTTTGTGCCTGAACAGCCTGAACAGCACTATAGTATACACGTATAAGTGTTGCTCTTCAGGCACAATCTTCCTCCGCCTACTCAAGCTCAACTGATGAGGGGTGAATTCCCCGAAACACTGTGTATTGAGCAGGGAGTTATGCTTTCTTGCAGGTTTGCCGAGTGGACGGTTCGTTGGACTTCTAGTGTGCTCTGGATGGCAGTCGTGAGTCAGTCAAGTGAGAATTCAAGTCGGCAGGAAAACCGCGAGCTCCCATGTAGGGAGCAACACACTCTTCCCCTACTATCGCCGAAGTCGCACCAACCTCTTCTTCAAATTCGAACTCGGATGGTGAGCCAATATAGTTATGATGAAGTTTTGTGCCATTTTGTCGCACTCGCTGACTGTAC